TATATATATATATATAACTGTATATTATTATGAATTTTAATCAACTCATATATATTAAATACAAACTTCTAAAATATTTTTAAGAACTTTTCTTTGATGAGAGAACTTTTATAAATACTTTTAACTTCTCATCTAATTCAATTTTTATTTATCTCAACTATTAATAAATTAAATTTTAATATCTTTAAAATAAATTATCAATAAATAAAAACAATTTTATGCTATAATATAAATTATTTATTATTAATTTAAATATAATTTATATATTTAAAATTATCTATTTATACAAATTGTAAGTATGATTTAAATTTCAAACATCATATTTATTTGTATATTTTATTTATTATAAAGTTTAGTACATATAATAAATATTTAACATATGCATTACATAGGCTAAAATATAATTTATACAATATCTTATTGATATATATTAAATAAATTACATCTATATCTATACTAATTTATATTTTTGTTTTTATAATAATAATAAAAATGATACCACTTTTTGATATCCATAATTTATTTTCCAAATTTATCTTTTAGTTAACTATCATAATAATAATAAAAGGGATACCATTTTTTTGTGTTCACAACTTACTTTTAAATTTTATCCTTTAGTTAACTACCATAAAAGATAGTTAAATTATTTTTTATTATTGTATTTTTTAGATTCATTTTGATTTTTTATATATATAGAAAGATCTTTTATCTTTTAAAATATTAATTTTGGTCTTTTTATTTCTCGAATTTAAGTCAATTTAATCCTTTTGAATCTTTTCAACTAATTCAAGACTTAAAAATTTGTTTCATGAGATTCACTTATGTGAAAATTATCGAATACTATTGAAGTTTAAATCACAATTGTTATAAATATAGTAAAAATATTTTTTTTAAATTAATTATATATTTTTTAATTCACTACGCATATCTGGCTAGACAATTGCAAAGCATTTCAAACACTGGATTTGGTAATATTGTCAACGGGGGCTTGATAACTACAATTGCAAAAAATTTGGGCTATAGGGAATTTCTAGACAATTTACAGCGTGTTGTACTTGTGAGAGTAGTCCTTGGAAGTCTTTGATACTTTCCAAGCTCTCACTTAGGTTTATAGCTTTAAACGCCTAGTTTATGTTTTCTTGCCTTTAAGTTTTCTTGCAATTTAGGTTTTCATGCAATTTATGTTTTAAGCAATTTATGTTTTCAACAATTTAAGTTTTCAATCAATTTATGTTTTCATGTCATTTATTTTTTCAAGCAATTTATAATTTCAAGCATTGATAACTGTACACATTAGGCACTTATTTGTTATTTTCTCTTTTGAAAATATCTTTGTGAAAATTATTTTTGTGCAATGCAAAAGTACAAGGGAGTTTAAAGATTTTTACTTGAAGAGGCTTGGTTATTAAGTGGCTTTTTAGTAGCTCACCTCCCTTCATAGTTCAATTTGTACTCTTAGACCTCCAAGTGCCAAGTCTAGCACTCCAAAAATATTATTTTGATTAAAAAACTATTTTTGTGTGATAAAACTTCTTGTTTAAAAATGTCTCAAGACTCTAACCTAGTGAAAGTGATAGCTCTCCAAAAAGTCTTTCTTACTTAACCAAAGAGCTCAAATCACTTAAACTATGGAGAAAGTAAAAGGCCATTCAAAAAGAGAAGGAGAGAATTGAAAGAGAAGGCCAACTTGCTTATTTAGAGGAAGAATTGAAAATTCATAAACTAGAAGAAGAAAAATTAAAAGAAGACATGAGAAAACAAAAGAAAAGGAGTAGGAACTCACATTCCCAATACTCATCCCCAAATGAAAGTTTGAACATGGGGGATCACTACCAACCCACACCTAGAAGAACCATTAAGCCTAGGGAAGTCAAAGTTGACCTCCCACAATTTGTTGGAAAAAATGATGTGGAGTTGTATTTAGATTGGGAGATGAAGGTTGAGCGACTCTTTGCTTGCCACAAGGTAAGTGAAGAGAAGAAGGTCCCTCTGGCTACCCTTAGCTTCCAAGGGCAAGCCATGTATTGGTGGACAACCTTAGGAAGAGAAAGACGCCTCCATAATGATCCTCCAATTCAATATTGGAATGATCTCAAAAGTGTTATGAGAAGGAGGCACATTCCTACATACTATGAAAGGGAGCTTATGAATAAGCTCCAAAGGCTTCAACAAAGGGATATGTCTATAGAACAGCACAGGCACCAAATGGAGCTTCATATGATGAGGGTATGCACAAGGGAAGAAGAAGCTACTACTGTAGCTAGATTTATGAGTGGTCTTAATTTAGAGATAAGAGACCAAGTGGAGCTTCTACCTTACATGGACCTAAATGACTTGGTCCAACTTTGTGTAAGGATAGAACAACAAATATTGAGAAAATCCTCTTACAAAAGAGAAATCTCCCACTCTTCATCTTTAAAGAAAGATTTCGAGAGGGAGGGAAAATCTTTTGAAAGGAAGAAAACTTTTACACCCTCCAAGGATATAGCTTTGGAGAAGGATAAGGGAAAAGGGAAGGTCACTCCACACACGAGCTCTAGGACTAGTGATATTAAGTGCTTTAAGTGTTTAGGGAGAGGATGACCTCAACAGTGTGCCTCAGACATTTCATTCCAAAGGAAGAAGTTTTTTTTCTCAACACGGACTGAAATAAAATATTATCTGTCACTTTAAGAAAATAATTTGTCTGATCCTCTTCATGGCCTATAAATTTTTGTGTTGCTTGCAGGTTTGTGGATTCGATCTCTTGAGAAGTGAGAGACGTTCATATGTTTGTGATGTGAATGGATGGAGCTTTGTTAAAAACTCATACAAGTAAATTTTGTAATTAGATTTTTTTTGCATTGCGTTTTTTTTATATCAGCAGCAGGGTTCAAAATACTTAAATAGTTATTCACGTTCTTTCTATAAACAGAAAATCATAGGTTCAGTTCTTCCCAATTTGATATATATTTGATTTGGAGATATTATAATTGTGCCTTTTTATCCTTAGAAAATATTTGAAAGGATAGATACTCCAAGAGGTCATGCTGTCAGTTTTGTTGATCCTGTATACTCAGTGGACTCTTCAAATTCAGAGTTTTCATCTAGCATTTTACGGTTTTCATACAGCTCATTAAGGACTCCTTCTTCAGTATATGATTATGATATGAGCACAGGCATTTCAGTTTTGAAGAAGATTGACTCAGTAAGTTAAAATGGGCATTTAAACTCCTTTAAGATGTTTTAATAGTTTGTTATGTAAATTTCTTGGTTCTATGCATGACTTACTGTTCTTGTTTGCTGAAGTGTTCCTTGCTGGGTATCACATAAATTTGACCTTTTGCTATGTTATGCATGACCCATGCTTCTAAAATATTTCATGTTGTCTAGATTTGTTTTGTTAATTCAAATACAGGGACTAAATTGATTGATGGTTTGATTTGGTAAAGCTAAGAAAAATTAACCTGTAACACTTCCAAGGATCAGATAAATAGATAATAGTCAATTATTTTCTCCACTATGTTTAGATTCGATTTTTATTGTTTGTGACTTACCTTTCATTTTTATAACAATAATTTTTTTCATACTATTTTTCAGTTTATTATATTTGATGGATAAGAGTTGGATTTCTGATCAATCTCAAGTTAATGAGAAGTATATTAGGGGGGTTTTAAATTTTCTTGATTTTGCATTTGAAAAATCATCTAAGGATGGAAAAATTTTATGTCCTTGCACCAAATGTGTTAATCGTGATTGGCGCTCTCGAATGGATGTTTATGAGCACATAGTCAATCGTGGTTTTCTAAAAGGATATACTAATTGGATTTTTCATGGTGAAAATATTGGTCCTTATATTTCTGAGAGTACATATCAAGATGGGAGGTTTGATCATGACATTGATACATTAATTCATGATGCTTTTGCAATGCATGCAACTAATGAGGGCCAAAATATAGATACAGACACGGAGGATGAGAATGTTGAACCATTAGTAAATGAAAATAATGTTCAACAATTTGAAGTTTCTTCATCTAAGTTTTATAAGTTGTTGAAAGAAGTTGAGCAAGACCTTTATCCTGGTTGTAAGAAATTCACAAAGCTCTCTTTCCTTGTACATCTCTATCATTTGAAATGTCTGAATGGGTGGAGCGATAAAAGTTTTTCAATGTTGTTAGAGTTGTTAAATGATGCTTTACCAGAAGAAAATACTTTGCCTAAGTCATTTTATGATACAAAGAAGATAATTTCAGGATTGGGTTTAGGCTATGAAAAAATTCATGCATGTCCTAATGATTGTATATTATATAAGAATGATTTATCCAACGAAGAAAAATGCCCAAAGTGTAATTTTTCAAGATGGAAAAATAACTCTAGTGATGATGAAGCCAGAAAAAAAATACCTGCAAAGATTCTTCGTTGGTTTCCTCTCAAACCTAGACTACAAAGACTTTTTATGTCATCCAAAATAGCTTCTTTTATGACATGGCATGAGTATGGTCGAACTAAGGATGGACTTATGAGACATCTCGCTGACTCTTTGGCATGGAAGGATTTTGATAATCGATATCCTGAGTTTTCTTCTAACCCTCAAAATGTCTCATAAGTCCATCCTTAGTTCATGAAATATATTTTTTCCCATGATTTTCACTATATTTATGGTCTGTTTAGAATTGAATGTAAATTGTAGGTTAAAATCATAATTTGGTCTCTTATAATATTTTTTTGTTTCAATTTAGTCTCACTTTAATTTTTTGTTTCAATTTGGTCCCTAATAATTTAAATTAGTGCAATGTCGGACTTTCATCCAATTTATTTAAACGGAGTTAATTGTTAGCCACGTGGATGCCATGTGGATGCATAGGTGGATGCCAAATTTCTTTAATGCATCTAGAATCAGAACGGTCCGTTCTGATTGCACTCTTGGTGTGTTAAATTTGCACCTGGAACGGGCCGTTCCAGATGCAAAATTAACACACAAATAGTGCAACCAGAACGGGTCATTCTAGTTTCAGAACGGCCCGTTTTGGTTCTAGAATGCCAAACACAAACGGTCGATGATTATAGTTCACGCCTGTGATTTTAAATCACGGTTGTGAATCGTGCAAGGAAAAAGACTCAAGGTACAAAACATTTCAAACACTGGATTTGGTAATATTGTCAATGGGGATTGATAACTTTAATTGCTAAACATTTGGGCTATACAGTGTATCATTAAGAACAATGCAGTGTATCACTAAGCACAATAGTGACAGGTTTTATTTCATTGTTAGTCAAACTAGAGTGAATCACTTACTACCAAATCGACATTATACAGTCAAGGATGAAATGACATGTTCCTCAACAACAACAACATGTTCTTGAGGAGGTACAACCTGAAGTAGAGGAAGAGGAAACACATGACCAATATTTCACCACACAACCACATGTACAGGTAGATAATGCTGATATCCTATCAACTATTCAGTGTTATATGATGGATAAGATGTATTATTAGCACTTTCAGTGTTATCCATATGATTTCCCTACTTAGTAATTTCTTTGAACTTTCTTAGTATATGTTATGTTATGAATTTTTGTTTTCAGTCTCTGAACCATGTTTCTGTCTTTGAATTTATGTTATGTTATGAATTTTTATTTTCAATTTTTGAACCACATTGCGACATTTTGTTGAACGTACGTATGTAGTTGGCGTTCTGGAACGGCCCGTTCTGAACCCAAAACGACCCATTCTAAAACCAGAACGACTCGTTCTGGTTTCAGAACGACCCGTTCTACTACACTCGTGGTGTGTTAATTTTGCATCTGGAACAGCTCGTTCTAGATACAAAATTAACACACAACATATGCAACCAGAACGAGACGTTCTGGTTTCAAAATGGGTCGTTCTGGTTCCAGGTACATTAAAGAAATTTGGCATCCACCTATGCATCTACGTGGCATCCACCTAACATCAACGTGGCATCCACGTAACCAACAGTTAACTCCGTTTAAATAATTTGAATGGAAGTTCGACATTGCACTAATTTAAATTATTAGGGACCAAATTGAAACAAAAAAATATTATAAGGAACCAAATTACGATTTTAACCTAAATTGTATTTCATTATTTTTTCTAGTTAAATATAAGGTAAAAATATTACACGTTTCACGTTTTATATTAGTCAAAAACTAATTTAAAATTGAAATAAAATTAAAAATAAATATTATTTTAAAAGAACTAAAATAAATATCTTAACAAATAAATGACCAAAATAAATATAAAAAATAAGATAAAAAATAAAAATTATAATTTAATATCATAAAAAATTATACATGACTCTAAAAAATTAAAAAATTGCTCATTTATTATCTATTAAAAAAGAAATTGTTATCATCTAAAAGACACAATGTAGCTTTCATATTAGTATATATATATATATATATGATAGTGTTACTTGATTTATTATCAATTTATACGCACCAAATATTAACCTAATTAAAGTTTATCACATTCTTATAATAACCTAGTTTTATCCCATCTTAATTTTTTTCTAGCCACCACCAACCGGGTCTTTACAGATGTCACTTTTATTAGTGGATCAGAGCATTTTTCTTTTTCTTGTTCTCCCTCTTATCTTAAAAAGAAAGGTGTATCTTTGCCTCCGTGAAAAAAATCTTCCTTCATTTTCGTGCCACCTCGTCTGCATGTGAATGCCAGTCACGTGACGCAGTTAGACTCATTAGTCATTGTAATTTGTAACTTATCCCCCTGCCTGATTTACATAATTTTTTTTTATTCGAGTTATATTATATTAATATAATAAAGGCATTCACATGGCAGTTATGTCAGGCAGTTAGACTCATTAGTCATTGTAACCTATCCCACTTTTTATTCACATGGCAGTTATGTCAGGCAGTTAGACTCATTAGTCATTGCAACTTATCCCACTTTTTATTCGAGTTATATTATATTAATATAATTTTTTTGGTAGAATATTATATTAATATAATAAAGGCATTACATGTTTACGTATGTTTTTTAAAATAAAAATAAACATTTTAAATAAAAGAGTATGAATAATTTTTTAACAGTTATAATTATAAGAGTAATTTTTAAAAAATAATAAAATAAAATAAAATAAAAAAACTTTAAAAAATAATTTAAAAAAAAGATACTTTGTCTTTATTTAAAAAATAATGTTTAAATAATTAAAATTAAATAATATTCAATAATTAATGATTAATTAAAGACTGTTTTTAGTATATAATATAAAAATTATAAAGATAAAACAATTTAAAATTTATGCATACAAAAAGAAATATTCCTTTAATTATTAGTATAGACATGTAGATATTAACATAGTATTATTTTATATTATTTTTTTTACCTATTGAAATTAGTGAATTAAAATAATAATAACACTAAAGTTGCAATTTAGGACCGTGTACATCGATCTTATTTCAACATCTATCATTATATTTTTTTATAACATTATTTATTTTATCTCTTAGTTATATTATTTTATTTCTCACTTTTCTTTCATTGTTATAAAAAAAAGTTGTATAAATACAAATTCTCTTTTCACTTTTTTCAGATGAAACTTAATATATATCCTGAACTTTATGTCAGGATTTAGCATGCAACTTTCATTTTGCGCAATTATGTATTCTCCTGTTTCACAAATGGCAGCTATTTCACTATGGCTTTTATTTGCGTCCACTCTCAACTCAAGCATGGTACATGGGAACATGATCAATGTTTCTTGCAATAGGGATGATCAATATAAACTTTCAATATTTAAGCAAAGCATCAAAGATCCCTTGAAGCTTCTCTCCTCTTGGTCCACTGAACAAGATTGTTGCAAATGGAGTGGGGTTCATTGTGACAACATCACAGGTAGAGTCTCAAAGCTAGACCTTCATTGTCCACTTGGAACTATCCAATGCTTAGAAGGTGAGATAAACTTTTCTGTAGTGTTCAAACTTGAATTCTTAAGCTCCATGGATTTGAGCTCTAATAACTTTGAGACTATCCATTTTCCTCCTATTCATGATGGCTATGCAAATTTCTCCAATTTTCTTTATTTGGACTTATCAATGAATTACAATCTCCACATGGAGAATCTTAGGTGGCTTTCACCTCTTTTATCTTTGAAATATTTAAACCTGAGTGGCATATTTCTCAAGAGTGAAAAACTTTGGTCTCAACAAATGGCTATGCCTCCTTCACTCATTGAATTAAGGCTGAGTGGTTGTTCCCTCAATGATGACAATCTTTCTCTTGGGTATGTCAATTTTACTTCACTTGAAGTATTTGATATTTCCAACAACTCTCTCCACTCTGAGATACCCAACTGGCTATCTAATCTTCAATACTTGAGGTCCTTAATTTTGAGAAACAATCAACTAAAAGGACTGATTCCCAAATGGATAGGCCAATTGAATCATTTAGAGCAACTTGATCTTTCAAACAACATGCTTTTTGGTCCCATTCCTTCAATCTTTGGCAGTCTATCATCATTGAAATCTTTAGATGCTAGTTTCAATCGCTTGAATGGTAGTCTTCCAAGAGATATTGGGAAATTATCCAAATTAGAAGTTTTATCCATTGGTTATAACTCCTTTTCAGGCATTGTATCAGAGCAAAGTTTCACAAACCTTTCGAACTTAAAGTCATTGAGCCTCGACTCATCTGATTTTATTTTTAATTTGGGGTCCCACTGGCATCCCCACTTCCAGCTTGAAAAGATTAGCATAAGCTATTGCAAGCTAGGTCCTGAGTTTCCATCATGGCTTTATTCACAAAAATCTCTATCCTATTTAGACGTATCAAGTTCAGGGCTTTCATTCAATATCAATGAGGATTTGAATTTCTGGAGTTTTGTAGCACAAATTGACAATCTCTTTTTATCCCACAATTCAATTAGTGGGAACATACCTACCTCATTGATCAACAACACACAAATTGATCTAAAATGGAATACTCTAAGTGGCAGGCTACCCCATTTATCTCCCAAAGTCATCTTCTTTGACATAGCCAACAACACCTTCTCAGGATCAATTGTTCCATTCCTTTGCCAAGGGGAAGAACACCACTTAGAAGTTTTGGACATGTCAAACAATCTTCTATCTGGAGAGTTACCAAACTGTTGGATGGAGTGGCAATCCTTGATCCATGTGAATTTAGGGAGCAATAACTTATCTGGTGAAATTCCTCACTCTATAGGCTCATTGAACAAACTTCAAACCTTCCGAGTTCGCAACAATAGCTTGTTTGGAAACGTACCTTTCTCACTTAAAAGTTGCAAAAGCTTGTGGTACCTTGATTTGGGGTTGAATGAGTTCACAGGGAATATACCAACTTGGCTTTCACACTTGAGCATGGCCCTCTTGCTACGATCAAATAAATTCAGTGGCACTATCCCTTTACACATATGTGAACTTTCTAGTCTTCTAGTGCTTGACCTTGCAGATAATGGACTTTCAGGACCAATACCTAAGTGCTTACATAACATCACTACAATGATCACAAACACTGTCGATGAAGGCTTGTTCACATCTTATTTTCGTAATTGGTTTTCTGCTCCAATTTCTGTTAGATCAAACCTAGAGGATTTACCCTTGTTTATGAAAGGTCAAGAGTTAAACTATTGGCATGCTTTGAAGTTTGTGCACAGTGTTGATCTCTCTAGTAATCACCTTTCAGGATCAATCCCTTTAGAATTGGTTAGTCTCGGTGCCTTGCAGTCGTTAAATTTGTCACATAATCGTTTGGTGGGAAAGATACCAAGTGGAATTGGACATATGAAG